GAAACGTGGACCCCTCTAAATGGAACATCTGCGCTAGTTAGAAACATTCAGGCTGTCATGCCTACACTCAGATTGAGGGAAGCCAAGTGGTCGCACATTCTCTATTTATTGCAGAGGTCCAAGGTTCAAATCCGACAGGCACGCATGGCTACTCCAGTAACATTGAACAAAATAAGCACCGTCTACTTAACAGTGGATGTAAAACATACTATTGTCATTCTAAATGCATAGGTCATTTCGCGTCATAGTAAATATTTGGTTAATTCCAAACATTATCCAGAAATTACATAATGGAGATTGCACATCAATCATCGCCCCCTACTGACAGACTCATGCCCACATGCAGGCTAGAGCAGGGTCACCTTATGCCACACAGAGGCAGCTGCCACTTGGGGGTGCTCACAGCAGCGCTCACACAGAAGCTTCGCTCAGAGCGCCGGCTGCCCTCGCCTACGTTCCCTCAGAACCACTCACTCGTCCGATCCGGGCAGGGGGATCAACCATCACCCGTCCGTCGACTCGTGAGGGTTGAGGCCGTGTCTTCACCTTTTTCCCAGAGCCCTAACTCCCGCTCCGTCCTCACACCCCCCCCCCCCCCCCCTTATATCCTCCTCCCAATTATCTAGCTCCTCCCTTGTGTCTCTTTAGGGCCCCACAGGCTGGCGCCTGTTAGGCCATCAATCACTCCTTATCGCACGTCTCCAAGGCGACACCTCCGGTGCTAGCATACGACCCCGGACCGACCCCGTCTGCAACCGAATCTCTCGTTAAAGAGGTGACGGTTTGCACCTCGCGCACCTGCCTGCCCTCGGTTGCCCTCGCGCAGCAGTGCGCACAATAATTCTGCCCATTTGTTTTTATAAGTTTGACCTGGATGTAGAGCTGCGGCAAGGAAGTAGCCATACAATTTAATAAAACCCAGATGCAAAGGGAGGCTGAGACTGGGAAATCTCCACCGGGGCAAAGGCCGTCATAAACACGGACAAATAGCAGGGCACACGACCCCCATGAATGTGTAGGGGTTGTGGCAAGGGAACACACAGTCACATCATAGTGACTACAACCACGTCAGCCCCGACCCTCAGTGGTGTATGGGTATAAAGGGGGGAGGGGGGGGGCAGAGAGCTCGGGGCATAGTATTGGGGCCAAGAGTGAAGAACCAGTGAAGAAGGCCGGCTAGATAGACCCTGGGACTCCCCTGACCGCTGCCCTTTTGAGGACTGGCAGGGTAAGCCAGTGGTGCGGCCCCAGAGCCTCAGAGCCGGAGCCCTTTTAAGGGTCGGTCTGGTTGGTGGGGTGCCATGACCTGTGCCATGACCAGGGCCAGGTCAGATAGCCTCCTCTAGCGCCTGTAGCGGAGGAACTGGGAGCATAGTGGTTAGGCTAGATAGCCTCGAGGGTGTCCCAGTGTGTATACGGGTGGAGGGGCAGTTACCCCTTCTCAGTGTAACACTGCCAAAGTTGAATAAACAGTGCTGCCTATACTCCACCATCTCCGTGTCCCGTGAACCCACTACAACTGGTGTCAGAAGTGGTCTTTGTAATGGACAGACAAACCGCTCGCAAGAGCGTGGGGAGGAAGACGACTCAGCTGGGACATCACCAGCGGACTTGGCCGACAACCCCTGGATGCCACAGGCGACCCAACAGCCGCCGCAGCTAGAGGAGTGGCCGCCGTTAGGGGACGGGTTACGGGCGGCTCACTCCTGTTTTGCGGAGCTGCTGTATGCCGCGGCATCCACGCTTGAAGAAATTAACCGCGCGGGGCTGGGGGTACCGATACAGCGTGGCGAAGAATGCCGGTCAACGGCCGTTCCCGCCAGCACACAGCCGCCAGAATTTGGATTTGCCGTCATGGCGGTGTCTACTACTGAGATTGGAGCGCCGGAGCACCACGTGGACGGCGAGGGCCAATCACCGGCCGCGGCGTCATCACCAGTGGACGTTCGCCACCAGGACCAATCGGCAGGCGGAACGTCATCAACGATGGACGAGCACTGCCGACTACAATCACGAGACGCCGCGTCATCAACTGTGCGACCGCCGATAGGGACCGCCATCCCCTCCAATGATGACAAAAAAGGGCGGGAATAGGCAGCGGCTGTTGGAAACGGAGCCATCATTCCAACAGGGCTTGCCTATTTTGAAAGAATTTGTGTCAGACGGTGGCGACTAGGGAGCCTTTGAGCGTCGCTTCCTCGCCCATCAAGAGATGGCCGGGTGGACGGACGAGGCGCTGCATGCCTTGCCGGCCACGTTGGATGATGACGCTCTCGCCACCCTCAACACGTCTCCCAAGTTGGCGCGTGCTACACTGCAATCGGCGCTCCGACTCCTCGCTACTGTCTACGGGCTACCATCGGAATGTCGCCAACTGTTTCACGAGTGGCGCAGGGGTCAGAAAGAGTCGCCGCTTGCGTACCGCACGGCTCTCCTGGCACTTGCAAAAGCGGCTTTCCCGTGCATGGACTGCGAGGGGGTGGACGCGATGGTCACAGAAAAACTTCTGGCGCTGGCTCAAGAATTGCAGATCATTGTCCTCGCACAGACGATGGGGACATATGTTCCTTGCGGGCAGCGAGGAACATACACGCACATCTGCTGTCACAACGACGACCACCTCTCGTCGCCAGCGGTGCTGCTGCGGTGTGCGGTGGGACATCAACCATCCCCTCATCCGAGGAGATTTTCGCTGCAGGTCGCCCTGCAGAGTGGAGGTCCGGAGGGGGGCCGGCTCGAACGACATCGAGCCATCGGGAGCAACCCCAGACGGCGGGTGCACTCGTCACCTGCTACAACTGCGGCCTCAAGGGCCACGTGGCTTCGGGATGCTGGGCCCCACGACAATGCACGCCGGGACCCCGGCCGGACGACACCCCAGCCCACAAGCCTCCACATCAAACTCTGGCAAGTCGCGGCACCCCACATGCTCGGCCTGTGCACACACCTGTCACTATCTCACGCACTTCGATGTACCGATCTCGTGGTACGGCCGCCGGTTCGTCGGTTTGCGGCGGGGTCGAGAGTACACAAAATCCGTGATCTAATCCCATCTGTGAAGGATGTCATTCCTGACATGCAATATCCTGGAGTCTACAAACTAAGTTGCACCTGTGGTGGGTGTTACATTGGGGAAACGAAACGACATATCTCGGACCGTGTTCGCGAGCACAAGTCGGATCTGAAACATGGCAGAACCAATACCTTCGCTGTGGCTGACCATTGTTATAAGGCTGTGGGCTCTCATGATATTGATTTTCCGAGACCAAGGTACTCCGCAAACCTTCGGGCTACTATCAATGGTTTGTTCATGAAGCCATCCAGATATATAAACATAGATATAACTTCAACCGAGAAGATGGATACAAATTGAGCAATCATTGGAAGGATGTTATTAACCAGGTACACCTTAACTGCTTCATGGTGTTGCCTTCATATCTGCATCTCCAGTTTCTTCAGCCTCCCACTCCCAGCCCCGCTCACTTTTGCCTTGCTCGTTTCCTAATCCCTCTAGCAGCACCCCACTCCCCCTACCCCACACCCCCCTCTATCTCTCCTCACTGGCTCCTCCCCCCTCTCTTACCTATATAGCCTCTTGTCACAGGAGTCCATTTTGCCCACTTCAGTAATTGTTTCTTGCTGTGGTTGTCCCACCTGATGACGGATGCTTGTGTTGCGCCCGAAACATCGTGATGTAATTTATTTTATACCTACAAGATTTTACCGAAAGTAACCAATGAAGGTTAATTGCACGAATAAATGAGTAGGACATTTCCAGGAGTACTGGAATGACAATTCCTAGCATAAGAGTTTGCATATTAGAGAGTTTTGTTTTGAGATATTAAAGTTGCTTAACGCAGCAGAGTCTGAGTGTCCCTTTCTAAGTTCATGCGTAATAATCATAATTAAAAGAACTGTGTCCTGTGGTGAGATCTGAATTTTGAGACCTGACAAACACACTAAAACATAATAGTAAAAGTTCAAGTGAGAATCACTGTATTATATTATTTGGGTCTTTCGGTAGAGACACTTTGATAAGTTCAACGAGAATAACAAAAAACCTATCTACATGACTTACCGAGAGACCCAAAGAACATTAATTCCTGCAATCACGATAGCTTTAAGTCACGATTGATAATACCCAGGCAAGGAAGCAGAGCCGAATTAGCATAAATACATGATCAAATTTTTTACAAAAATTACGCATTTTCAGTTTAAATTAAATTTTTATTCTTTTTCAAGACCTAATATATACAACACTTGGGAGCTTATTGGCTCTTGCTCCTGGTTAATCATCTAGCCGAACCCACAGACTCCACAAATACTGGTAGCTCTTACTCTGCAGGTTGAACCCAGGAATTGAGTGTTCGACTTCACGTTCTTTTCATTAAAGGCCTGTGACAAAGGTGAATCTATTGGTGCTTTATTGTCTCAAGCTTAAACATCTACCAGGTCTCCATTTGACTTTGTATTGTCTAAGAAGTCCACCCACACCTCCACTTCCACAAACTGCTGGGAGTTGCCTCGCTCTGCCTCACAGTCAGAATTCTCCTCCTGCTTCACGTTGCCTCCATCGATGTGAATGTCCCATTTTGGAGTTGAATCTTCATCTTCACATTTTACCTTCACTTCTTCGCTCTTCACCATCACTTCCTCACATTTCACCTTCGCCTCTTCACATTTCACCTTGATACCTTCAAAAGTGTCCAAGCTGGGATTTAGTTCTGGTTTCATGGGGGATGGGCTCAATGCAGCACTTGGACTTTCACAAGCCGATTTCAGACTCCACTCCTTGGGGATGTTATGATGATTGTGTGTCCTCTGGTGTGTTTTAAGATTTGATAAACCTGCAAACGCCTTCCCGCACACAGTGCACCTGAAGGGTTTCTCTCCCGTATGTGTTCTCTGGTGTAGTTTAAGATGTGATGACTCAGCAAACGCTTTCCCGCACAGAGTGCACGTGAAGAGTTTCTCTCCTGTGTGTGTTCTCTGGTGGCAATTAAGACCTGATAACCATGCAAATGCCTTCTCACAGACAGTGCACTTGAAAGGTTTCTCTTTTGTGTGTGTTCTCTGGTGTTGTTTAAGATGTGATGACACTGCAAACGCCTTCCCGCACAAAGTACACCTGAAGGGTTTCTCTCCCGTGTGTGTTCTCTGGTGCAATACAAGACCAGATGACTGTGAAAACGCCTTCCCACACACACTGCACTTGAAGGGTTTCTCTCCTGTGTGTGTTCTCTGGTGTTTTTTAAGAGCAGATGAATCTGAAAATGCCTTCCCACACACACTGCACTTGAAGGGTTTCTCTCCCGTGTGTGTTCTCTGGTGTATTTGAAGATGTGGTGATTGTGCAAACGCCTTCCCACACAGAGTGCACCTGAAGGGTTTCTCTCCCGTGTGTGTTCTCTGGTGGCTCTGAAGAACTGATGGCCATGCAAATCCCTTTTCACACAAAGTGCACTTGAAGGGTTTCTCTCCTGTGTGAGTTCTCTGGTGCTGTGTCAAGCGTACAGGACGATCCGTGCTATATGCACACTGGTCACATTGTTTCCTTTTTGCACCGAGCTGTGCTGAGCGCCTTTGCTCCATCAGAACTATTCTGCAGAGGAAGTGACAGCTGCAGACAGAAAAAAGAGAATATCCACACCATCTACGTCAGTACCGAGGTACAGAGGAATGCATATATACACAGTGACACATGACTAACACGTCTATACTAATTCATATAATCATGACATAGTGAAAAAGATTCCCCAATTCATCACACAGGCTGTTATGACAATTAGAGTGCTAATGGTCATAAATATGCTTGGAAGCCCAAGTACCTTCAAAATGAATGTTAACTCAAAACTACAAGCATACAATTTTGGTTGTCTGGCTAGAAAATGAATATTTATGAAAGCTAAATTCAGCTAACAAAGCTAAGGGTGTTGAAACTAATACTATTTTTATTATGCAGAAATGCATAAATTAATGTTCAATCGCAACTTAGAGGTGTGAAGCCAGGCTCAGATTTCCTTGAATGCTGGGATGAACAGATCTAACTTCAGCTGCATATGTGCTGTGTTATTTCCTGTTTCCATTCCTATAAAAAGTTCCAGAGGAAAACAAAAATAAACGATTGTTTTGATTTAACCTCCGTGTTCAATAGAGTTAATATACTTTACTGCAAATACAAACTTGACACTGTCACACACTGGCATAGTAAAAAGGTAGTGGTGTCTTCAAAACCATGCTTGGCCACCTTCATATGCTCAGTATTAATGCTTCCCCACAAGAAGTTACGTTTTCACTTATCAATCACGTTTGTTGTCGGATATAATCAAACTATAATTATTGAGTTTATAATACAGTGATAATACTATGTAACACAATTTTAGTTCCTGGGTACAAAGTGTTATTTTTTAATTGCTTATGCCTAAAAAGTATAGATAATCGCTATTATTCCCCACAAACTTTGCTTTTGTGACCAGGACTTTATGTAAACGAAAATACACAAATTCGCCCGTTTTATAATTGAAAATAGGTACATTTAAAAATATCAGCATCCTGGTCAAAAAAGCAAAGTTTGTGGGGAATAGCATTTTCTGTACTTTTGAGGCATAGGCAATTAGGAAATACCGCTACCCAGGAACAAACATGTTTTTTGTTACACAGTGTAATAACTGCGCCACCACTCCCCACATAGATAAACTCTTACAGATGTAGTGACATCGTGGGGTGTCACTGTGTAGTGCCGGCCCTAGAGAGGCACGGCGTACGGTGTAACAAACTTCGCGGATACCACTCTGGTGTGGGTGTAGTACCGGCCCTAGAGGGGTTCGGTGAGCGCTGACTGATAGCGCTAGATGGCACCACGCTTGGCGTGCAGTGCCGTCCCTACAGGATAAGGTGTGGGAGTGCCGGCCGTAGGAATGAGGTTACTAAAGGCCATGGCACTCTGGTTGATTCGAGGACACGTGACAAGCTAAGTCTACAAAGGGGCCCAAAGTGGGGGCTAGGGGTGGTCACGTGGTCAGGGTCCAGATCCTGCTCGAGGATTCTGGAAGGTGGTCGTGGCCAAGGGCGGAGCCAGCCACACCGCAGAGAATATAAGCCGGGTCCCTCAGAGGGACCGGCGTTGTTGTTCAACCTGAAGAAACCTTCGTCTACGTTACACCAAGTCTCCAACACGTGGAACTGAACTAGCTAGTTACGTTGTAATTAGTGCAGTTAGCCTGGTGGTCACCACCATAGGTTGTTATTCTGTTAAGGGGCAGTTACCCCGTGTGTTGGTGTTAAATAAATGTGTTGCCTCCAAGTGTACGGCTGCGACTCAGTTGAACTTACTACACATACATTTCACATGACTGCCATGTGTGGATCACTTGTCAGATCATGGGAATGATCCAGGTGTGAAGGGATGGACTGAGATGATTGACAGATGCACCAGCTGTGCTTCCCACTGTCTTGCTGCATTTTAGGCACCCAGAGTTCCACCCATTCATGTGAGCGTTGCTACTCCGACCTCGTTGTTGCAGAGCAAATACCTCCAACTGCCCTGCAGCATATGTCACGGGCCTCCTCCACAGAGGCCGATCTTGACACTCCTGGTACCAGTCATCAGCAGGCCTGATCACCTCCACATCCTCCAATCTCTTCTCTAGCCAATGCCATGCCTGTTTAGCCCGTAAGATCTGGACTAACAGAAGATGCTTGAGCATGCTGTCTTTATGTGGGATTCATGACCCAACCAATGCAGCCTCACCTGTCAAAGAGACTCATTGATTATATTCTGTACTGATATTTTAGGTATCTGTAAGGTTTTAATACAATCTTGTTTGGTTCAATAGAGGGGATCAGAGGCAAGCCAGTCTTAATTATAAGCCAGAACAGGCGGTCCTTTAAGTAAGTTAATATTTTGCATCCATAGAGAAAGGAGTAACATCTGTGGCCAAGAAGACTCACAGCTTTGTTCGTTCATTTATTTCTAAATCCTCTTGTCTTCATGACGGTTGTGGTGGCAGTACATTGAGTAGGGCAGTCCAGACCTCCCTTTCCCTGGCGACAGACTCTAGCTTATCCTGGGGAATTCCCAGGCGTTCCCAAGCCAGCCAAGCGACATATTCCCACCAGCATGTCCAAGGGCCGGGCCCCGGGGACTTACTCCAGTGGGACGTGCCCGGGAGAGCTCCAGGGGCAGTCTATTGGGGGGCCTCCTTACAGATATTCTATATTGATATCACTCATGGAACGAGGCCTGGTGGCTAGGTGACCCATGTAATCCATATGGGCCCAGCCTGTAATGGCTACGTGGCACCGTCCTGTGCGCCCACCATCCACAGGACGAAGGGTGAGAGGCGGATACAATGCCAGTATGGCAGGGAGAGGGATGGTCTCAAACAGACGAGACCTTGGCGATGGACACTCACAGCTTTCTATGAAGCAAAAGCCCAGGCAGCTGACACACAATGTTACACAGTCTAATGAAAGAATGTTGCTCGACGAATTTTAAGTGAGACTTTGGCTGCCAAACCAGAGCTAGTCGTGAACACATAAACCAGGTATGGGAGCTCCTCCACCACTTGTAGAACTGCCTGATTACTCATGGAGAGTTGAGCAGGTACAGTGTTGTGTGACATGAAATTCCCAGGTAGGTTATTTACTTTTGGGGAACATACGAAAGGCCCCATTTCATGATGAAATTATCCAGGCACAGAACAAGATACTCTAACCCAATCTCATTGAGTAGCCATTGCCAGATCATCACCAGATGTAACATGGCTGACCAGCAGGGAACGATCACTTAACTATAACCAGGCATTTATTAGCATATCATTGTAACCGTAACAAATGCAATTTATTTAAATGGCCATTGTGAGATTTTCAAACTACGTAATTATTGAAGATGCTATGTAACATAATGCATAGGGCCAGAGTGAATTTCTCTCACAAGCCAAGTTGAACAGCAAATGGCTCCGACTCCTGGTCACACAGCTTTAGACGGTCCTGCCCAAAATCATAAAAATCCTCAAAGAATGTGGGCAGAGGCAGAGACATCGAAAACAAACAACCCAAAGACCCTTTATGATACTATAGGCATTAATTATCAAAATGCAGAAATCTAGTATCCGCTAAAAATCCATACTCCTCTGCTGTAGTCGATCGACAGAAATAAATTATCCCCTTGAATATCGGAGGTTACGTTCTTGGAAATTGCTGAGCGAAAGCTAAAAGTGTGATATCCAATACTTACGCCTTACCCAAGTAATGGCGTTAGGAAAACATCAACTAAAATTCACATCATAATTAAAACAAGTATTGTAGTGCATTCCAAATAAACTAAAAACGAAACAATTCAAATAAAAATTGAGAAACCATATACAAAAAAATATTTGAAGACTAAAAATAGTATAAAGCTATTTAAATACAGACTTTGCGCATGTGTTAATTATTGTGAACAAAATTCTGCCAACACCTTGAAACCTACACACCCTAAACATTCAAATCATACTCACAGGTGAGTTAGTGTTTTTTTCGCACAATTTTCAGCTTACCCACTCGCCTTCAAAACCTCCAACCCCCCACCGTTCCTCATCCCCCCCCCCTCTATTTATCTCGCCATGTGTTAAAGCCCAGGGCACTCACTATTTCCGGTTAGCCACACACGCAAACACATTATGACATTTCATGTACTGCAATTCCAAGCACTCACCATAAACATAAGTGTCTGCACTGCAATATTTGTTTTCATATTTACTATGTTATCCTTCCCTATGATCAGCCCTGCGTTTTTGCTGCCAAATTATAGCACTTCCAGCTCCTTACTGTCCTCTATGCACATGCACGGCTAACCTCTAACACACACTGCAATATTTATTTTAAAAAGACATGTAATATTCTAAAATACCTACATCTATGTACCAGGACTACCGACCTCCTCCTACACAATATAGCCACTATACAACAGCTACGACTAAATACACACACACTCGCGTTAAAATAATTTTGTGTATATGCATCACCACACACATACTATGCATACCCACTTCAAGCACCACAAACAATTACTCCCTCCAACAACTTACATCCTTATACTTTATTCCTTTGCAGCTATGTCTTCACATTCCTACAGCGATTACACAACTATCATTTTATTAACAATCTCACCACAGCATCCACTCACACAATCATTATTTATTATTATTTTCTGCTTACTAACGTTTACCTCCACCTATGTTCCTTGCGGAAAATGTGCGCTTCTCTTCACAAAAGCGGATTACAATAATTGATGCCATTCGTACAAGTGCTGCGATGGCTGCACCTATTGAAGACACTCCTGAACACCAAGAAGCAAGACAGCATGCTGCCAGTGCTGCTATGCCTGCACCTACAGCGAATGCATCTCATCAACAGCAATAAGCTACACAGAAAACTAACACAGCACAAATGGCTGCTACCACAGCTAATCAAACTTCAGTCCGCCAACAAGCACGGCAGCTTGCAAACAGTACTACAATTGCTGCAACCAGGTGCCTACCCTGGAGCCAAAAGGATAAGTACTTCTGATCTATTAGTTGCAATTAGTTCCATGTCTACTTCTTACAGCTACTGCCATGCAATGACATGGGCTATGCTGCAACAGTACCATGGTTCAGCTGCCTATACCGAGCCTATTCATGTATTGATACCTGACAAGCCATTTCCGAAACAATATAAGATAGAACTCATGGTTCCAAATTACATGTTTTGGCACCGACCCACTCATCCTAACATCTGGCTACATGCCCACATTTCAAGTGCAGGGCCAGGTACGTAATCGCATTGGCAGTCTGCTGCAACTACCTAATGACCTACCTACATTACCAGAGATTTACTTGCATGTCTGACAATACTAGACAGGCTCACCAGCATTGTAAAAATGTCACCACCAAGATGCAAGTTCTATTGCAAGACATGCTCCATAAGGAAAACTCTTACATTCACAGTTTCAAGTGTGCCATGGAGAAGATGACTTCAGAGTACAATGTTGTTACTCATGCAGACTAAACTCCACATGGTCAACATGAGTGCTGCTTAAATGCACTCGCATCTAAAGTCGGTGTCATTCTGACTGCTGAACATGGCACTCGAGGCATCGCCTTGCAACTGAGGAACAATACCCTACACAGAAATGAAACACACCGATCCTATGATGCTCTTCAATGTCTACTGATTTTCTGGCAAGGTGATGATGGCTACAATTTCCTACTTCGCCAAACTGACCCAGCAACAGGCTTGCCAACACAAAAGATTTCCGCCATGGACTGCTTTGCCTTCAGAATCATGGTGCGAAACGGCAACTTCAATCTCTTCTTGAGACGCAAAGAGCTCTTCCACCAATTTTCTGTCGACATGTATGCCAAAATGGAAGCTTCATTCGATTAAACCCACCAGATGGCAAAACATCCAACATTGTCTATTCAGAAGCTCTCCCAAGGGCAACGCATTTAAAAGCCGTCCTCATTATGAAACAAACAAGCCCTGAGATTGAATAACACAACAAAAAACATAATATACACACATTTACCGACTTCATTGGCAGAATTCAATAATTGTGATAAAGCCAGCAAGACATTACTCTTAATGTTTAATTACTGAGACCTGAGCTAAGCCGGGTAACTTAGTTATTACTGGATAAATACTATACTTCCGATTAAGTTTGTGCGTGAGTGGGGAGCGGTAGTGCAACATTTAGCGTGCTGCGCTATAAACCTAGCGAGCCGATTTATATTCCCACAGAGCCAAGCCACAACATTTGACTGTCGCCTGATGAAGCTGGTTGTAATTACTGTCAAAACGTTATACTCAAGATTGTAAATGTTGTGGCTTGGCTCTCCAACACACAGATGTGCTGTACTGGTGACGCATGGCCACATTCTGTTCACGTGACAACCTCTTACTAATTGGCTGTGTCGGGTGGTGGGGTTAACGGAACATTTATTATTAACGCGATCTAACACAAACACACCTCTATTATGGCTGTATATTTGGAGTTTGCGCGTCTCTCTCTCCGTGGTCGCGTGGATTTTCCTCCGGATCCTGCGGTTTTCCCCTGCACATTTAGAGTCAACATCACCACGCGTTTAGAGTATTTGACCGACAAACATTTCCACAAGTTGATAAGCCCACTGTGTTGCGGGCAGGTCGCTTCTGAAAACAAGAGCGGTGTAGCTCAAGTGGGCTATGCCTGGTAAAATAAAAACGTAGAAATATTTAAAATAAAGCAAAGTTTCAAAGTAGTGAGCCAGGTGAAGACAAATTAAACTTAAGCAGATAATTAATGCAATCAGGCGAGGGCAGGAGGCAAGGCCCTGCGCTGTAATGTTCCAACCTGGACATCGATTCCATATTCGCTGCTACTCAATTGACATCCCTACGAGAGGGAGAAGGAGCGAGGCTCTTCCTGGGTTCACAACAACAACAAACACCACAACAACAACAAACACCACAACAACAAACACAACTTTTCACCTCGGACATCTGCGAGCACGCGCGCGGAACAGCAGCTTTCCGGCAACTCGTGACGTCATGCGGCAGCAGTAGGTGACATGACGTCACTTTACGGGGTCACACAATCCCCTCCCCCAGCGGTGAAATTGAATAGATTATGTTAATGAGCACGCCCTTGTCAATTAATGTGGTTTATCTGCTGAACCCGTCGCAATGAACTCGCGACTGTATTTATGAAAATATTATGTTAATGAGCCGCCAGTGACTGGCGTAGCTTGCCCAAATAAGCATTTTACTGGACCGGAAATCTGCAGTGACCAACCAGACGTGAGGTCACGCTCAAAAGCGCGGTGGAGGGGGGATTTGGGGGGGTTAATACCTGGGTGACATGACGTCACTATTGGGATACACCACCCCATCGCGTCTCACGCCGAATTAACGAGGGGTGACGTCAGAGAGCGAGATCAGGGTCAGAGTTCGAGTTTAGTTTAACACGAAGGCTTTCGCGACCAATATTATTCATAATAAAGGTTTTTGGGTTAGATCGCGCTATTTATAAATGTGTCGTAACCCTCCACCACCCGACATGGCCAAACAGTAAAAAATGTGTCACGTTTACAAAGGACAAATAGTTCACTACTTTAGCCCACTGGTGTGTTGAAGAGTGAATCAACATAATTTAAAATTTGAGTACGACGTTTCGCTGGTAATTACATCCAGCCTCATCGGGCACTTCGCCAGAATGGTAAAGCCCTCACTTGCCTCCGGTCTTAAATAGAGCAGCAGGGTGACGTCATCAGTTAACTCATTCAGTGATTTGAGGCGGAGGGGGGGGTATTGCAATTATATAATCGATTGGTAATCAGTCAATGGTTATGATTAGTAATGAGTTGTAGATTAGTAATTAGTTATAATGTCTGTTATTGTGATTATATGCTACGTTTGTAATCCGTTAATTAGTATGTGTTTCCCCTATAAGGAATTGTAATATGCATTATTTAATAATACTCTAACAAGCAGCACTAAGCCTGTAGCTGTCAGAGCGATTAAAGTTATTTCTATTTCTCTCAATTTCAATGGATTCTCTAATTAGTCTTTGGCAGTAATAATTGGTTTTACACCACTTCAACATTATCAAAATCAATTGAGTCTCCTTGTTGACAAGCATGTTCTGCCACTGCCGACAGTTGTGTTTGAGATAATTGAATATTTCTTTGGTGTTCTTTTAGTCCTATGCTGATGTTACGTCCCGTCTGTCCAATATAGCATGTGCCACATAAACAATTAATCCGATATACACCTTCTTTTGATAATTTAGGTAATTCGTCTTTAGTGCAATATACCAGTTTTTGAATTTTGTGTACTGTACCAAATCTTACTGTAATGTTTTTCTTTTGAAAAACACGGGCTAATTTGTCAGTTACTCCTGAGATATATGGAATTTTAATTGTTTTAACAATCTGACTGCTTTCAGCAGTGTTGCTTTGCGACCGTGATTTGGCATTCAGTGCTCTGTTAATTTAAGTATTATTGTAGCCATTCTGTCGTAATGCTTCTTTAACGTGTTTGATCTCTCTCACTAGACTTTCACCATCTGACACTTTTTAGACCGATGTATGAGCATCTTGATAAGATAGGATTTCTGAGCTGGATGATGATGCGAATCTGCATTCAGATAGGCATCAGTGTGCGTTTGCTTTCTGTAAACGCTGTGTTATTTGACCATTTAGGCCATGTCCAAGCAAAATATCTAGGAACGGGAGTGTGTTATTCACCTCCATTTCCATAGTGAACTGGATGGCCGGGTTTTGTGCATTAAGATGATTTAGAAAATCATTCAGTGTATCTTTACTATGTGGCCAGACAACCAAAGTGTCATCCACATATCTAAACCAAAAGGATGGTTTAATGTGGTTGAGGCAAGTGCTCTCATTTCAATTTTTTCCATGTACAGATGTGCTATAGCAGGGGATAAAGGAGAGCCCATTACTGCTCCTTCCTTTTGTTTAAAGAAATCCCCTCTCCATAAGAAGTGTTATTTAAACAATGGTCAGCAAGTTTTGGAATATCGTTTGGTAAACCTGTATTCTCTACTAGTGCATCAAGTAATTTAAGCAATTCGTTCACTGGAACCTCAGTGAATAGAGAAATCACATCAAAACTTACCAGAATATCATTAGGATTCAGTTTAATATCTTTAATCGCATTGACAGGATGTTCTGAATTTCTTATGAATGAAGAAGTCCTACCGATGTAGGGCTGTATTTGTTTAGTTATATATTTTGCTAATTTATATGTGGCAGAGCCAATTGTACTGACTATGGGTCGTAATGGGATGCCGATTTTATGAATCTTTGGTAGCCCATACAGTCTAGGTGGTTTTGAGTCCCTTGGCTTAATTTGGTATTGCTCATTCTTAGGGATTAATGCATTTGCAATTATTGCAGTAGTATACTCTTTGGTTCTATTCGGTAAAGTCACGTAGGTAAAAATAAAATAACAAAAAATCACGACGTTTCGGCCACAACACAAGTGGCCTTCATCAGGTGAAAGTACTGGACTGTCCAGAGGACAGCATTGGAGTGAAGACAGCAAGCCCAGGTCGCGTCCTTTAAGCTGTGTGGGAGGAAACAAAAAACGCCTTGACAAAGGAATTAGCATAAAATGATGTACTGGACCGGCACGGTGGGGGGGGGGGGGGGGGGGGGGAGTTTACATAATGTTGGTATGAAGGCAAATACGCTGCTGTGAAAGTTTGGAATACCACTACTTGAATAAATATACTGTACCGTTGAAAATTAGTTTAATGTTTGGTTTGATTTAGAACATCTTTCCAATGATTGCTTAATTTGAAACCATCCTCTCGGTTGAAATTGTGTCTGTGTTTGTAAATCTGAATTGCCTCGTGGACAAATCTCTGATAAAAACCCGTGGGTTTGCAGAGAAGCTTGGTATCGGAGAAAACTATATCGTGATCACCCACAGCATTGTAACAGTGATCAGCTACGGCAGAAGAATTCGTTCTGCCGTGTTTCAAATCTGATTTGTGCTCGCGAATTTGGTCAGAGACACGTCGTTTCGTCTCCCTGATATAGCAGTCACCACAGGTGCAGCTCAGTTTGTAAACTCCGAGGTACTGTAAGTCAGGAACGACATCCTTCACGGATGGGATCAGGTCACGGATTTTGTGTACTGTATTGAACCGGACCAGGATCTTGTGTTTGTTTAGAATTTTGGAGATCTTTTTAGTAACGCCTGCTATATATGATAGTGTGATGGTTTTGACCGGAGTATCAAGTGGTTGTTTCTGTATGGAGGGAGAAACAGCTTGGCGGATGGTACGGTCAGAGTATCCGTTTCTCTTGAGGGCCAGGTGTACATGTTTTAATTCACTGGTCAGGTGGTGTTGGTCCGAAATGCAATGTGCCCTGTGGTATAACGTTTTGATGAGATAATTCTTTTGAGCTGGGTGGTGGTGGGATTCAGGTTTCAAGTAGGAATCTGTGTGGGTGGGTTTCCTGTAGACAGAATTCCCCAGTGAGCCATCAGGTCTCCTCTCAAACAGAACATCCAAGAATGGTAGCTTGCCATCTTTCTCCACTTCCATGGTGAATTTGATGGCGGGATATCTAGAATTGATGTGGTGTAGGAAAAGGTTCATAGCTGGGAGGCCATGTGGCCAAATGACGAAAGTGTCATCCACAAATCTCTTCCACAGGGATGGTCTGAGGGTGGAAGCCTGGATGGCGTCTGATTCAAATTTCTCCATGAAAACATTGGCTATCACTGGTGATAAGGGAGAACCCATGGGGGTACCCTCATTTTGTTTGTAGAAGGTGCCATTCCAAGTAAAGTAGGTATTGGTGAGGCAGTGTCTAATCAGCGCAGGTGTATCGGGGTCTAGTCCATGTTGTACCAAATTTTCAATGATTTCAATGGTGTCAGGTACCGAGACCTTGGTGAACAGGGAGACCACATCGAAGCTGACAAGGATATCCTCAGGGGACAGTACAACGTCTTTGACCATAGAGACCAAATGAGCTGAGTTAAGTACTGCTGAGGAGGTCTTGCCAGTGAAAGGTACCAAGGTATCTGACAGAAAACATGCTAGCTTATAGGTAGGGGAGTTGATCGTGGATACGATTGGTCGTAATGGAGTGCCTTCTTTATGAATCTTGGGGAGACCATAGAATCTAGGGGGTCTTGCAGAAGAAGGTTTTAAGGAGGGACGTTTAGTTGGTTCGATTAGGGAGGTCGAACTTGTGATGATCTGCTGTGAAAGTTTGGAATACCACTACTTGAATAAATATACTGTACCATTGAAAATTAGTTTAATGTTTGGTTTGATTTAGAACATCTTTCCAATGATTGCTTAATGACCCTACTAATAGCCTAACTATAAAAACCAACAAGATCATCACAAGTTCGACCTCCCTAATCGAACCAACTAAACGTCCCTCCTTAAAACCTTCTTCTGCAAGACCCCCTAGATTCTATGGTCTCCCCAAGATTACTTACTGCTGATTATACCTCAGCAATGATCTCATCCACTGGAATTGTGCGTGGGGTAACGGCAAAGTTAAGGCCTTTAGAAAGGACAGAGATCATGTCACTGGTTAAAACAGTGTTACTCAAGTTCATTACGGTTTTGTTTTAAAATTATTCGTTTTTAGTATTGATTTATTTATTATGAAGTCTAGAAAATGTATTCATTTGGCTATTTTTTGTTAGATTAAACACATTATCAGCCGATTGTTATGGTACTCGAGTGCGAAGAGCTGACCAGTGAGCGCGCGCAGCTTCGAGGGCTGGGACGAGAGCACGCTATCGCAAGCCTGCTCCCAGGGGAGAAGGAGGAGGGGCGCGCCAGTACGGTAAGGGGTCGGGCAAAGGAGCCTCCAGGATCCCGCGAGACAACCCCGGGATGGGTAGCAGGACTACAAACCGGCATGGGGGATATAGCCGGCCAGGTGGCCCACGTACGCGAGGAAGTGAATACAAATATGAAAACCATCCAGTCCGAGATGGGGGAGCTACGCTCCACAGTAGGGGGGCTGGCCGGATGGGTGTCCCAGTTAGAGTCCGACCTTGGACAGCTGCGTACGGGAAGGGGGAGAAGGGATGGGCAGGGGACCTCCTATGGAACTGCCCCCCGGACATGCTACCTGTGCGACCATCGAGGGCATCTCGTGAGAGACTGCCCTCAGATCGCCCGCGCTAGAAACGCGCCAGGGTTAAACGCCAACGCCCCCTAGAGAGTGGACCATCTAGGGGTGCAATCGACGTGGTTCCGCCACAAAACGACGA